ATTGGAATGAATTTTTAGATTCCGAAAATTTTGGAATTGGAATTGGAATTGATTTTGTACTTCCGAAATTTTTTGGAAATATTCCGAAAAGGCTAATTCCGATCCGATCCTTCCGACTTTCAGCCCTACTATAAACCCATGACTCAAATGGTCTTCCGATTCTACAGCCGGTCCAATTCAGAAAACATTGATTTTACTAACTAATTAATAAGTTAGTCCATAAAATATAATATTATATAATTTAATTAGTTGGTATATGTAATGAATAATGAGTGACAACAAAATTAATATATATTGGTAAAAGAAAACAGAAATACTGGGGAATCTTTTTTACCCACCAAAAGTCACTGCCATGCGCGGTGCCACGTGTAACAATCTAGGTAAACCAGAAGCGCCATGTCACGCGCTCGCGGCGCCGGTGGGGGCCACCCCCGATTGTCGCTTGTCTGGCGTCTCCATAAATACGACCCTCCTCCAGGGGCAAATACGTAACTTCACATGTCAGAAGTTTCAGTTCATAACAGACAGCTCTTGCCGAGAAAACAAAAATTAAAAAATACAAAAAAACAAAACAAACGAAGAAACTCTTCGGTCCGAAAAACCTCAAACCAAAGGAATCGGAGTAATGGACGCCGACGAGGTAAATTCCGTCGCCCTTTTGAGGAATATTCCGGCAACCTGGACCGTCGTCTCCGCGGCGGCGGAACCCGTTTTTTTTTCTTTCTTCGACAGCACCACCAACTACCTAACTGATCCCCCCCACCCCCACCCCACCCCACCCCCCCAAACCGTTCATTTTTTTCGTGTTCTTGCATTCTTTCTTCTTGGGTTTTGGATTTTGATCTTGTTTTCTTTTTCGCCCTTTCGTTTCGTCTTTTGATGGTTTTTGGGGAGTTAGAGGGTTCGTGTGTTGTCTGAAAAAAAAAATGGCGGTCTTCTTTTCAACTTCATTTGATGTTTCGAAGTGCTTCTTTCCCTTTTCATTCAATTAAATTTTGTTTTTTTGATCGATCTTTGTGTTCTTTTTCTTGGTTTTTTAAATGGGTTTTTTTTTTGTTCTTTTTGTCAAATGGGCTAATTTTTGTTTATGATTCCTGGAAATCTCGAACCGTGATTCTTGATTCTCTGCGATTTCTTGTTTTAGTTTGACATGAATGGGTGAGATTATTTTTTCTCTAGATAATTAATTGTTTTCTGTAAAATGCAGAAATTGACTGCGTTGAAGAAGGCATATGCTGATGTAATACTGAGCACATCTAAGGAGGCGGCGGCGAGGGTTCTGTCGTCGGAGAGAAAGTCGGCGAGGTGGCAGCACGAGCTGGCGGCGGCGAAAGAGGATGGGGTGCGAATGCTGATGCGCCTCAAGAAAATGATGGATTCTCAGGTGAAAGCACATTTGAATTTTAGTTTCAAGTTTCAGTATCAGCTCGTGTTCTTGTTTTCCTGATTGATCGATTGATTTTCTTGCAATGAGGACATAAAATTAGGAAAATCGAGCCTTTGTCCTGTTTGAAATAGGGTCCTTTTCTCTTATATGGTTTCGTTGGCTCTTGTTTACGCCAAGAGGTTTTTATTACATAACCTAGGTTAGGATTTTAGTTTGTAAAATCCGGCAGTTCTTTCTTGCAATGTTGCGTTTAAAAATGTCGTAATGGCTAAAAATGTTGTAATGGCATGCAGCGAATATTTTGGAACACCAAGATTCGCGGGATTCTTTGACGGGTTTTCGTTAGAAATATATGAATCATGCTAGAAATAACCGTAATTTTTTGTTCGTTTTCTTTCTTGATTTGTCGATGGTTTGTCTATCTTTGTCGTATGGTTATTATCTTTGTTCGTTATCATTTAATGTAATTGTTTTAATTCTTCGGTGGCAAGACACGTGGGGAAAAAAAGGATCAATAAATGTGTTCGTTCTTTTTGTTCGATCGAATTATTGGCTATTATTTGTTTATTTCATGGAAAATCATTTTAAAAACGTTGGCAGATGAGTGAAGCGGAAGCAGCATCACTAGCTAAGCAGAAGAAGATTGAAGAGCTCGAAGCCCAGCTTGAGGAAGCCGAAGATATCGTAAGTGATCTCAGACAAGAGTTGGGACAAGCACATGCTGAGCTGGACAGGGTAAAGAACGAGAATCTGCGCCGAGCGAACGAGAGAATATTCCTCCCACCAAACGGATCTTCTGATGTGTACGTAGATAATCGATATTTGCCCAATATAATATCGAGAGGCAAAGATAGAAACGGATTTACGCATAGAATCCGTGCTTGCGAAAGGAAGGTTTTAGAAGCTGACGTGGCGAAAGATGCCTCGAAAGCACCACCGGCGGCCGATATGAAGATCGGAAGGTTCCAATCTTTTGTCATTAAAAGGAAGAGAGCTGCTCGAAGGAGAAGGACTATTGTGCCCTCGATAGCTATTTTGACCGAGGGCAATTCTCCTTCCGACGAGAATCCTTTAAAGGACGAAGCGTCGATCGAAAAAACGATGCCCTTAGAGATTTCCAACGAAGCTTCGGAAAGTTTGTGCTCGCCAGATTATAAAATGGAGTCGATCAAAGAGATTTGCGACGAACCGCCACGAGGAAGAGCTTTCAAATACACGTTTCAAAGGAAGAGGAAGAGGCAAGCTTTGAGTGAAATCGAAGCAAAGGGCTCTCTTGAGGAGGAGGAAGAGAAAACGGGAGACGGGAAAAACGGTGATCAGAATTTGGAGCAATCGAATCCGAGCTTGTTGACGGAGTCTTCACGAGAGAGTAGGCGCTTGGCACAAGTTGCTCGACAGGTTGGTGAATGAACGAACTTGCATTTTCTTTTTTCTTGATTCGTTTATGCATGCATAATCAGTTTCCTTGTCAGCCAAACAGACCCTACGTTTTGTATGCATGTTTCGTTTTATGACTTTTATTGTGTATGGTAGTTGTGCTTGATTGCCATGTGTAGATGAATATTTTTTGTTGATGAACTCGATAATTTTGCATTACATTAGCAATTGCATGGTCTTGGAAATATTTTAATGCGTTTAATGCTAACATTGAACGCAAGAAGATTTACGAAAAAGCTTCAGTTTAATCTGATTTCCGGAACTAGTCGACGGACTATATTTGCAGCATTGGTTCAAATCAGATCTTACCTTTTTTTAGGTTTCATTCTTTTTCGGGTTTATTTCATTTACTACCTTTTTCAGTTTACTCTAATTGTTAGAGAACTCCTCGTGTTATTTTTAATAGCAAAAATTAAACCCCCGTGATTCATTTTTTTTAGCAAACGACCCCTTAAAAAACTCACCATTTAGGGGGGTTGTGTGCTAAAAAAATGCATTAAAGGGGAGTTTTTGCAAATATCAATAACATGCGGAGTTTTCTTGCAATTCGTGATGTATAAAACATGCTAATGTACTATTTTAAACTCTGCAACTTCTTAATTTCGGAATATATTGACAACTTATTGATGCTGCATCGGTTTTCTTGAATTTCTTTTATATAATGTTGTAGCATGTTTCCACACGTGTTTTTTCTTTTTTTACCATATGATATGAGATATGGTGGTTATTTGAATTACGGCCACCCCTCCGAGGCAAGGTCAAATTACAAACCCCCCCCCCCTCATGTTTGGGTAATTACAACCACATCCACCCTTATGGTGTCAAATTACCTACTGAATGAGGGTTTTTTTTGTAAGACAGTACATAGTTGAAGGGGTGGTTGTAATTACACAAACAAGAGGGTTTTTTTCGTAATTTAACCTTTCCTCAGGGGTGTGGCCGTAATTTTCCCTTGAGTTCCTATGTTCTTTGATGCCCTTACTTTGACAATTACCTTAATCACGCTTATATGTAAATCCCAAGCATTTATTTTTAGGTAATTAATCACGCTTATTGTTATCGTTTTGAATTTTCGTTTGCTCGAGTTTCGTTGTTCGATGGGCTTAGTATGGAGTTTCTTACATCTCGTCTAGGTCATGCCGTTTGCAAAATTCTTTACCATTTTTATTGTCTTAGTTCTTGCCCCTATTTGCATGTGGAAATATGATTCTTTTAAACTCTCTTGAATCCTTAACCATCTTTTGATGTTCACATGTTGCTGTAATATAAATATCGATTGCCGATTGGTACCTTTTGGCAAACCATTTTATCTTTTTACTGTCTTTGTTATACACCTTATTTTTGTCGAGTTATATACTTAATGGTCTTTATTTTTCACTGGCTTTTCGAATATGCAGCTTATATCTTTGTCGGAGAAGAAGTGGTGGCATTGAATTGGGGATTCTCGTATTCGAGATTTAGAGAATGGTGACCTGGAGAAAAAGAAAATGTCTGCTATTTCAGCTGTGAGAGAAGGTGGTAGATTTAGTTTTTTTTTTTTTTTTTTTTTTTTTTTTTTTTTTTTTTTGGGAGTAAAAGAGAAGGTGTTAGTTACTTGGTAAATAACTAAATATAACTGTAATTTAATCAAAGTACAGCAGATTATTTTTGCTGATTAATCTTAAAAAAATTCATCCAGTTATCGGTATTTATGCTCTGACAGTTTTAAATCCAGTTATTTAGGTTCTTGTTCATCTGTCTGTAAATCCTATTTACATGGATGTTCCTATTTCTTTGTAGCTTTCTGTCTGAATTTGAGATTTGGTGTTTGAAAACTTCTTTGGAATTCAAAATTTAAAAAACACTTTATGATTAGTGTGATAAGTTGCATTGGATTTTTGTGCTCTAATTGTTTTGATTAGGGGTGGAAATCGGAGGGAATGGATCGGAAACGGCTTTTACGGAAAATTTCCAATTTTTTTTTTCAGAAGTAAAAGATGAGTTCCGATTTCCATTCTAAAAAGATTGGAATGCCAAAATTCATCCGATTTCGGAATGCCTACGAATCGGTGGAATTTCGAAAATTTCGAATATTACATTAGTTTATAATCTCATGTTCCAAATTCGGACATAGTGGAAATTTTTACTATATTTTTCTATTTTCTTTTTAGTTTTTTTTGCAGGAAAATGCAAGGAAATCCAACAAAAAAGTCTGAAAAAACGCAATAAATAAGAGCACATGGAAAACCAACAACTTGAAATATAGATTTTCTTATAACGAAAAAATGCACATAATTTTTTTTGATACAAATGATCATTCGGTATTTATATTTTTCATATACAATATAACATAAATTTCATATAACGTTAATTGAAAATAAATTTCATATAATTTTAATATTGTATAGAATATTTTCTTAAAAGAAATATTATTGTATGGAATATTGTTTTTATTAAGTAAATTAATTTATGGAGTATATACTTGAAAGATACTTTTGTACCCAAAATATAAAATAATTTAATAAAATTAAAGTCCAAAATAGAAGTGAAGAAAATCAGAAAAACAATTGCAATATACGTAATAAGGGCAAAATGGTAAAAGTTTCCATCTCAACAGATCGTAAATCCCCCTTCTAAACCAACTTTTATATCAGGGTTTTACGCATTTTGCATTTTGCCCTAAAATTGACAGAAAATTTAGCAACATATACTCCTGAATTCTTCGAGTTTCGAAGGAATCTCCAATCAAGCTAGCCAAGAGTGGAAGTGCTGAAGATAAATGACGGCGGCGAGAAAAATTGGGGATTTGGCGTTCAAAGCGTTCACGGCGGGGCTCGGCGTCGCCACCATATATCTAACCGCTACTTTCTCCTTCAACGTCTACCGCGGCCTCGCTTGGCACTCCGCTCAAACGGTAACACGCGCCGCCCTTATTATTCCTTAAATATTCCCATTTGATTCTTTCAATTCCAGATTCGTTTTTCTTCATTTCAGTATCTGAGTGATAAAAGACATGGCTTTTATGATTTCTTCTTCTTCTTTTTGCATAGGCGAAATGGGAAATCCTATTGGTTTGGAATGCCAATTTTTTTTTTTTTTTTTTCAAATACTAATCTATCTATTGATAATTTAAGTGAAACAATTGATTATAGACTTGTGGATTAGAAATTAACGTTATTGTGATTTGTGGTGTTAAATCATACAATTTTCGATTAGTGTTTGGCTGCGTGACGAGTTCACTACTGCATTTTCGATACCTTTTAGATTTTACTTGATGTGCATTTTCAGGCCTCCGTCGAATAGGAGTATTCTGTGGTTGATTGATTTTGTTGGACTAGGACGAACAATCTAATTTCCCACGTCTTGTTTGGTAATTAGGATTGGCCATATAATATAGGTTTGTTACATGGTGGGGGTTTAGGTTTCGAGAGAAGGATATTTAGTACAAACTCAACCACGATTGATATTACACAATACAAGGATTGCATAATCACAAATTTCAAACATAGGATAATCACATATTATATTATAGGGTAAATTGCGAACCCCCCCTAAACTTACGGTAAATTATGAAAACCCCCTAAACTTAGGCTAAATAACGAAAACACTCCCACCTATCCGTAATAACCAAAACCCCATTGATTAACTGTTGATCGAGTTTTTTAATAGAAAATGTGTAGTCTATTATACCTTCTGTTAGATAGGTGAGAAATAAAAGAAAATATCTGAAATTGTGTAAAGTCTACCCTGGAATAACAAAAAATCCATGAAAAGTCACACCGTAAGGGGTTGGTGTAAGACGGAAACAAACCTGAGGGAGATTTTGGTTATCAAAGATATGTGGGGGTGTTTTTCCTTACTTAGCCTAAGTTTAGGGGGGCTTTCGTAATTTACCCTGTATTATATGGACAATGTAATCCTAACCAAGACAGTCACTCTTATCAATCCCATCAAACATTCGCAAACGAGGCCCCATAGGATAACTTTCTCGTACATGTGTTTTTTAAATGCTTGTTGTAGCTTATGGATTGTTGAATACACTTCGTCTTATATTACATATTGAGAATCCTTTGCCGAAGATGTGATTCATTGGATCGGAGAGTGTGACGCTAGAAATATGATTTGTTAACAGTTGGTGTAATAACTTCCTACAGATTCAACGGAATTGTTAGCGAGGGAAGCTTTTGACTAATAAGTATATATGTGAAACTATGTATGTGTCTGTGTGTGTTCGTGTTTTTTGCTGCCTTTGCCATTTCCCATCGCAATAGAGCACGCTTTTCGTGCCATTAGTTGAAGAAACTTCAACTTCTGTTTTTCCTTCTTGGAACTAATAGACTATAAACTGGATTTTATCGACCCGGCTATTTGAAACCATTTATTTATCCGCCGTTATTTTGGCATACATTTTTTGTTCATCTTGTTTGTGTGATTGTCGAAATCAGTCTCTGATCTATGCTTGTATTTTGCAGAAGGCTGAGAAGGAGGGCTCCTCTAATCAAAATGCAGAATGATTTTGAGACTCGATTTCACTAGTCCTATACCAGTAATTTTGATTCATTTGAAGATACGAACTATGGAATAACGCTGTCTACTCTACGTGTGGTTAAGTTGCTTGAATCTGAGATGGTATGAATCGAGTTAGACTAAAAGCATGTAACAGCAAATTCGAACCATTATCATATGAATTACGCAATTATTTTTCAAGATAATGCGTGAAAGTTTACTACAAATTGATTTTTCTGTTCATGTTACTATGAGAAGAAAAACGTTTATCACGATGCAAAGTGATACGTGGCTACTTTTCTGTTCCATTTTATTGTGTGCAAAGTAAATTAAATACTAAAGTTAATGCTTGGCTAATTTTCTTCCAGCTTTATTTGGAACATGAAATTTTAGTGCTAATTATTGCTGTTAAAATTGAACAATTGTGCTAGGTTATCAAAATTTCGATTTGTGTCATCTTATTTCAAATCTTGAATAAATCGTAAATTTGAATCATGACATACTGCTACAATGGTCTACTGCTCTGGTCTACTACACATGGGGAGATGCAAATGAAGACATTTATATGTTAAAAGGTTCAAACCCTTCATCGTTGAGGCATGTTACTACCATCATTACACATCCTAAGCTATCATATAAAATTTCAAGGTCAACAAATAATGAAAAGAAAATTGGTAAAAAAAAAAAAACAAAAGGGCAAAAAAAGGGAAGCAGAAGAGAGGTGTCTTGATTATCGATTATATCACAGAATACACGTATCGTATATATAAGCAAAATACATACATCAAACAACACTACTATACACAACTCCATCCGAGAGAACATTCGAAAATCCAGCAGATTTTTTCGCCAAAGGGTTCATTATAAGCCCACGGCCACCTCGAAGCAGATGCCTCCGATTTTCCGACAAAGAGCCTTCAATATTATCACCAGAAGCAGGAAAACGAGAAGCTGAATATCGAGCTTCTGCTTTTCTCCACAGCTTCGAGCTCAAAAACTCCGTACCAGGTACTTTGCAACACATTGATCCTGCATTGCTACTATTACGAGACACCCTTCCATTCGAAAGAGCCAAATCGAACGATATTTCGTCCAACGCAAGCTCGAGACCATGAACACGTGTCTCAAGGGAATTCATACTGTTCTGCGAGCTCCCGATAAATCTCTATACATGAAAATACTTCCATCAGTTATATAAATATATTGTAGTGAAAGTATAATTTGTTGAAGAAAGATGAATACCTGGAGAAGATCGAATAAGCTCGATTGCTGATTTTCGATCTGAAGAAGTTGCTTTCGGATCAGAGATAGGTCTTCGCACTCTCTCCGGTTCTGGTTCCTACAGTTATCTCCAGTTTCATTACTGAAGACGACACCGTCATCACCACACGGAACAACTCGAGAACCACCTTTAAACAAACCGAGCTTCTTCTGCTTCACATCGTTGAAAAGGGCTCGTTTGATATCTGGCTTTTTCAAATCCTGTTCGTATTTATTTGAACGACTCTGAGCGATGATTTCTTCGTTTAAGACGGAGGGCTTTTTCGGGTCTAGCTTCCGGAATATTCCTGGACCTACTTTGTTTTCGTTTGGACCCAGAGGAGTTCTTTTCCTTGGTTGATCAGTAAATTGTGGGTCACGTTCGTTGCTACCATTTTCTGTACCAAACGGAAAACGAAGTTGGAACAAAACTTACCCTACTTGAGATAGAAATGTGAGCAAAATGAACTAGAGAAGATGCTTAATCTTACATTGTACTTGAAGTAATATTTTAGTTGAAAGTTGATGGATTGATTGGACAGAAATGGAGGACGATCAAATAGGGGTGGAAATTGGACGGATCGGATCGGATCATGACGAGTACTTTCCCGAAAAATTCCATTATTTTTCGGCAGTTAATTATTAATTCCTTTTTCGGAAATTGGAATGAAAAAAAACTTGTTCCAAAATAGGGAACTTCACTATTGGAATCTAGGGACTTTGGGAATTCCATTTTCTATTCACCTATAATTTAAAAAACAATCGGAATTTTCGGAATTACTTTGTGAAATTAAAATCGGATCGGAAATCATAATGTCATATATATTCCAATTCTTGTGCAACAGAAAAAAAAAAGGAAAAACAGAATTTTCGAAATTCAGAATGAAAAAAATTCCGGGATCGGAATCGACGGAATTCAGAATTCCCTTCCAATTTCTAGGCGAAGGACCAAACTACACCTGAACGAGTCTAAACTATAACTATAACACAAATCAATGATCGACAATTTCATAGACATTAATTTATCAATGTTCGAAACTCAAGCAAGGAACAATCGAACCTTTTTAAATCGATATTACGAGGATATATAAGCTGCAATTATTTATTTTAGATCATGAATTTAAAACACTTCGGTTTAAAAAAAAAGAACCATACCTTTAGATGAGTCCTCTGATTCGGGTGGAGCGGAAAGCAGCTGAGGTAGATCCGGAATCTCCTTCCACGCCTCGATCATCTTATTCATCGTCTCTCTTGTCGCCTTCACCTGATTAATTACATCAACGGTCAACCCCATTTCATCACACAAACACACATTTTATGTATACATACACACACACACACATACATATAACATATATATCAAGAAACTAGAAGTTAACATATATGCCTTGTCAAATCTCTTTGACTCGAACGTTTTCAGGCACGAGGCTTTGTGCTCCGACAGGGCATCGTTTTCTCCGGCCGCGGCGGTGGCGATCTTTGTCAAGGCTTCCGCGGCGGCCTTCCTCGAAGCCCAATCTTCACTGCTCAAGAACTCCACCAAACACGCGATCGAATTTCCGATCATACTTTTCCCACCATTATTGAGTACTCCCTTCACCCCCACGGCACTTCCGATCAGAGACAAAAGCGAGGGTTTGGCCTTGAAACCCTCGCTTTTCACCAGCTTTTCGAGCCTCGGCAACAGTCTTCTCAGAGCAGCCGCGTCTGGATTCTTCGATCCTTCGATTATCGCGGCCGAGCACAATGCGGCGCCGTTTTGGGCGTTGGGGTCCTGCTCGGAGAAGAGGGAATCGAGGAAGGGTTTGGATATGGAGGTGAACGGAAGGGATGTTAGGTTTGAGGAGAGTGACAGGGAGGCGGCGACGCAGGCGGCGCGGATGGAGGAATCCGGGTCGCGGAGGCGGCGGACGACGGCGGACAGGAGCTTGGAGTGGTGGGGAGAGAGGGAGTTCCCGTGGTGCTCGGAGAGTACGGAGACGAGGCGGAGGCACTGCCGCCGGACCGGCGACTTGTCGGAGGAGTCGGTGGCCGCGATCGACGAGACGAACGGCGGAAGGGCGGCGGCGGAGAGGGTTTTAGCGATGGAATCGAGCTCCGACGCGGCGGCGGAGTGTGTGTCCCTGTCGGAGAGCTTGTGGAGGCAAGTGAGCACGCGGTGATTCAGGGCGCGTGCCGTCGCCTGCTTGCCGGAATTCAAACCCGACATTTGTTAACAAATAAGATCACTGACGGAAAATGTATGTCGGAGCGCAGAGTTAACTTCCAGGTGGTGGCGCCGGCGGGATCTCCGGCAGCATTGCGGTGGTTGGGAACCACCAGTAGCTAGCTTTAATGACTTCTATGTACTTATTTCCCCTCTCCTACTAAAAGATGATATATATAGAGATGGGGAAATATGCAAAACCCCCCTCAAACCATAAATATTATGAGTTAAACCCATTTGACTTTTAAGACTTTTGCCCACACCCAAAGTCCAATCTTAATTAGTGAAACCCCCCTCAACAACTTTGATAAGACGAAACTACCCTTATCAGTAGTTTTTAAAATAATTGCAATATTTATTTTCCATAACCGTCTCACGTGATTGTAGGATTACATTAATTCTCTCCATATATCTCTCTTTCATTCTCTCTCTCTTTCTCACGCATCTTCTCTTTTTTTTTTTATTTCTTCTTCAGCCCATAATCCTCCATCACTCGCCAATGGACACCACTCAGCCGCACACGGCGCCGGCGCCGGGTTTGATTCTCCTTCCGAAGAGCGAACGAAAAAAAGGGAGAAAAATCAAGTTTTTTAGATGCAACAGTTTTCGTGCAGAGGCCAGATCGGAAAATCTAACCATCGGATCGGGTTGATATTTTTACACATGATTCTTAACACATAAATATAACTTATGAACGGTGGAGATCGGAATCAGACTTTTCTAAATATAGATCGGATCTTAAAACTCGCTGCTGGTTTTTGTTACTGAATAATTCATGGCAGCTAGATTGGACGCATTTTTTGTACAATTGAACCGTTGGATGTGGCCTAAATTTGGATAGAGTATTCAGAGTATATATTTTTATATACTGTACGGAGGAGATTGAATTTGGTGCCCCCTAGCTCCGGATATAAATTGTGAAAGTATCACAATTCGGTAGTCACATTGTAGTCACATTCTCATGTTTTTTTTGTAGGGCTGCACATCATGTCGTCAACCTTTGTTAAAGTATGGAGGGTCGTTTGGGGTGAAGATATGCCGGGGTGATTTTGTGTATGAAGACCTCGCCCTCTGTCTCGTTATTTTTCTATCTTTATTTATGTATTTTTCGATTTTTTTTTCCAGATCTGAACAGCAGTAGTAACATGACTATAGCCATATTCGAATATGACTATAGTCATATTTAATGTATTTTTCGAATATGACTATTCAAGTTGACTTCTAATAACAAGATTCAAATTGTGATTTTTTGTGTGGATGTTGATTGAATAGTTTTCGTAAATAATAGGGAATATTCGTTGTTTTATATGATTTGGTAAACATGACTATGTCATATAATCGGAACTTTTAAGTTCAAAATGTAAAAAACAACAATATAAAGAAAGAATATGACTACAGTTTATAGTCACATATAGTCATATTCAACCATAGTCATATTCGGCGTTGCAAACCTGTTTAGAGAAAAAATTCAATTTTTTGTTTAAAAAAAGTTTTAAAAAAAATTTAAAATAATATTTTTATTAAAAAATATTAAAATTAAAAATAAATTAAAAATGACTAAATAAAGTCCAAAAATAATATAAAAATAAAAAATAAAAATAATAAAATCCGATTATTTTTTTATTTTATTTTTTTGATTTCGTAGCAATTTTTTAGGAATTTGGAACAGATATTAGGAATTAAATTGTTATGGAAAGAGAGAAAAAAGGAATAATTGAGATAAATTAGGGAAAATATATAATTAAGTCTAATTAGCGGGATTAGGTGCCTCATTAATAGGGATTTCGAAATTACTGGATAATTATAAAAAAAAAAAACGTGATACACTACTAGAGGGGTAAGATTGGAAATAAATATTGTAGGGGGTTTTCACAAAGAAAGAATTATGGTATGGACATATCACTAGTTTTTATCTAAATGAGGGGTGTATTGCTAATGACCCCTATAGAGATTTGGTTATCTACGAAACGACACCGTTTTGAAGAACTTTTCCCTCTTCCCCTTTGACCAATGTATACTTTATAATAGCAAATTTCTCTAATAACAAAATACCTGTAATAATTAATTAAAGTGTTAAATTATGTATTCAAAAAGTACAAATACCTATAACTATAAACAACAAATAAATAGGGTGGTTGAAATGAGAATTAGGTTTGACATTCTTGGTGGTTGATTTGTTTAATAGGTATGATTCTTCGATGTATTCGTTGCATTATTCGACTCTCATTGGTAGTTAAACATTAATCAAATATTAAGAAGTTACCGGTTGTCCTGAAATTAATTGGTGTCAGAAAAAACGTAAAATTAGCCTTATAGTGCATTCAACACACACAAGTGCCTACGAAGTTCGGTTGTGGGACACTTGTATCCGAATCTCCCCTACGCGGCTAACAACATTATTCCTAAACTGTCACAAAATATGGTGCAATTATCGTAGATTTTAGGGATATTATCGAAAAACTACATCATTACGTAAGATTACAGAAAATAATTCAGAGTAATTTCAGTATAATATAATTCATTTATCTCGTGCAACCAAAGAAGGTGCAAGTAATTATACGAGCGTGATAACTAATGTGGCATGAGTAATTAATTGCAGGAAATAGTGATGGCAATGATATATAATGGTGCTTATTTGTTGTTCTACTTACGTTAGAATCCTCTATTAAAGGTGTTTGTTTTATGATTAAGCATCCATGATTACTATTAAAGATGTTTGATTAGTTCTAACCCAATCAATTAGATTGGACTCTTTTATATATTCATTGCAATAAATAAGCTTTATCAATTGTTTTACAAAATGAGATTTATTTTTATGATCACTCGACGATGAATATGACTTTTAAACTTTGTAAGACCATTAAGGTGGTGTCTGTAAAGAAAATATTAAATGCAGAAGTTAGTGATTATAAATTAAGTGATATAAGGT